TTCTCCAGCATCTACAGTTCCTACTACCTCAGTTATGGGATAGGTTGGAGAAGCTGGGGTTGTTCTCCTCAGAGAAAACATTTGAGGAAATTTGATGGAAATATTCAAAACCAGAGTGCTCTGGACTGAGAAGCTAGGGAGAAAGCATTCCCATTTGTGAAACAGTCAAGAACCAGAGGACAGAAATTTTGATCACAAGTAAAAGAACCAGAGAAAGAGGACGTGAAGAAAATCTTTTACGCAACTGGAGCTAGGATCTGGAGTGCACGACTAAAGAGTGTGCTTGAGGCAGATACATTCATTGGTTCAAAAGGTAAGCAGACAACTAGAATTCTATAATTCTAATTCTAAACTTTTATGTTTATAACTGACGATTTATGGACTATCTCTGATGACACTTTGAAAAGCAATTCATTTAATTCCTCATTTAGAAGGTGAACAGAAATATATGGCCTGGGAATAAGTGTGAAGCTATTCACTTTGGTAGAAAAAGACAGGATTTCTTAAATGGTAAGAAGTTGGGAAGTGCAGGAACCACCCTGGGTTTCCTTGTTCGTGAGTCACTAAAAATTAACATTCAGCTACAACAATCAGGAACGCAAATGGTATGATAGCTTTCTTCACAAAGGGATTTGAGTGTAGGAGTGAAGACATCTTGTTGGAGTTTTATAAAGCCTTTGTGAGACCTCACTTGGATTACTGTGTACAGCTTTAATCTCCTCATCTAAGAAAATATATACTTGCTATAAATGGAGTGCAATGGAAATTCACCAAACTAATCTCGGAGATGGTGGGACTGTATTATGATCAGAAATTGAAGAAATCTGGTCTGTGTTTCCAACAGTTTGTAAGAATGAGGGAATGACCTCATTCAAGCCTATAAATTCTTAAAGGCCATGACAGTGTTTTCAGAGAAGACTTCCCCTGGCTGGTGAGTTTAAAACTGGGCAACATTACTGCTGGATAATAGGAAGGATTGTTTTCACTGAGAAGGTGAATTATGGTGAATCTTTGAAGTTCTCTACCTCAGAATGCTCTAGAAGCAATCAGGATGCGAATAACATCAACAATATAAAAATGGTGCAAGAAAGTGGCCTGAGGAAAATGATCAGCTGTGATCTGACAGAATGGTGATGCAGGCTTGAATGGTTTACTCCTGTTTACTCCTGTTCCTATATTCCTATCACAAAAGGAAGATTGAGTTGTTTTCCAAATATGCTTTACATGCAGGTAGCCTTGCCTGCTGGCTAGTTTATCAGAATACCACTTCATCAGAATATCACAAGGATGATGCTCACAATTTTCAATCCATTGCAATTAATAGACAAAGCATGCAGGGCAGCGTAAGATTTGGTGGGTGGGCAGGATGGGAGGAGAAGTTGGAAGAAGGATGCTATGGTGTCAGTTTGGGTCTTGAAATAAATGGACTTTACATTCTTAAATTATCTCTGTAAGGAATGAGTGTTATTGGATTATACCCTGCTAGATTCTTGTTGAATTACGATCTTCATCTGCAGACTAACAAACTCTGGGTGTCTAGGAAAATAAATTTCACTAAAACCAGGAAGTGACATATTTAAGAAACAGACATTACAAAGCTGTTTGTCCATCCCCAACTTCTCTGGCGCAAGTGGAAGTGAGCAGCTTTCTTGAACAACTGCAGACTGTGTGGTGTGAGGACTGTTAGGGAGGGAATTCCAGGATTCTGACCCAGCGACATTGAAGGAACGGCGATATATTTCCAAGGTGTACAAAATTAACAGAGGTATAGATAGAGAGGACAGCCAGAGACTTTTTCCTAGGGTGGAGGTAGCTATTACAAGGGGGCATAGTTTTCAAGTGAGTGGAGGTAGATATAGGGGAGATGTCAGAGGTGGGGTCTTTACTCAGAGAGTGGTAGAGGCGTGGAATGCATTGCCGGAGAGGGTAGTGGAGTCGACCTCATTAGGGGCATTTAAGCGGCTATTACACAGGCATATGGATGATAGTATAAGATAGTTGATAGTAAAGGGGTGGAGGTTAGAGAGACCTTAGGTTTAGGGTGAAAGTTCGGCATAACATCATGGGCCGAAGGGCCTGTACTGTGCTGTACTGTTCTATGTTCTATCTCAAAAATAAGCACGCACTTAAATCATTGGGAACTAACTTACACACCCAGCATTTGTTAAAAATAAATTCAAGTAGAAAATCCATCCATTCATCAGGCAATACCAATTACTTCGTCAATTGGATTTACTTAATCTGTTTGCTACATGACTCTTCCACTCCTTAAGTAAAACTGAACATATTAAATCTCAGATAAAGAAATGGCATGATTATAAAGTTAGTATTAGTTTTTTTTAAAAAACTATCGCAAAAAAGCATACCATGATTTTGCCATTTTCTTCTTTGTCAAGGTACTGGTCACTGATCATGTGACAAGATCCTAGCACAGCCAACTTTCCACCTTGGAGCTGTTGACAAATTTCACAAATTTTCCAGTTATTAGGACAATCTGTAACACCAGTTCATTATTCTGACACATGATGAGCTTTGAAGGTTAAATATCTATGACTCCTTTCTTAATTGCATAATCAATATGAATCAGTTTTGAGTATATTCCCTAAAAGTAAGGGTGTTTTCCCCTGGAAGAAAGGAACATGAGAAAATGTCATGCAGTATATATAGAGTTGTACAGCATGAAACAGACCCTTCAGCTCAACTCGTCCATGCCAACCAAGTTTCTCTAACTAAGCTAGTCCGATTTGCCTGCGTTTGGCCCATATCCCTCTAAACCTTTCCTATTCATGTACTTGTCCCAATGTCTTTTAACAGTTGTAACTGTACCTGCACCTACCACTTCCTTTGGCAATTCTGTCCACATATGAACCACCCTCTGTCTGGAAAAAGTTTCCCCTCAGGTCTCTTTTAAATCTTTCTCATCTCATCTTGAAATTATGCTAATAAGTTTTGAAATCCCCAACCCTATAGAAGAGATCTTTGCTATTCACCTTATCCATGCCCCTCATGATTTTATAGACCTCCATAAGGTCATCCTTCAGCCTCCTTCATTCCAATGAAAAAAGTCCCAACATATTCAGCATTTACTTATTACTCATTGTAAATCTTTTCTGCACCCTCTCCAATTTAATAATATCCTTCCTATAGGAGGGCAACTAGAAATGTACAGAGTACTCCAAAAGTGGCCTTACCAATGTCCTGTACAAATGTAACTTGACGTTCCAACCTTTACTTAATGGTCTCAGCAATGAAGGCAAGCATGCCAAATGCTTTCTTTACCACTCTGTCTGTCTGTGATGCAACTTTCAATGAATTATGTACTTGAACCCCTAGGTGTCTCTGTTGTACAACACTCCCCAGGGTCCTACCATTAACCGTGTCAGTCCTGCCCATATTCATCCACATTAGCTAAGATCTTAACATTCTTTATCAGCTGTAAGAAAAGTTATTGTACTTAATTCCAGATGGCATTTGTAGACAAATGTGACACTTTGCAACTTTCTACTGGTAAATAATTTATGTTAACTAAGAAACAAAGCATTTAAAAACAAACAAAAATTGCATATCTGGTATGTTACCATGGTTTCTAAATTCAGGCTACATATAAAAGAATGCCTAGATTTCTTAAACGGATTCTTACAGAAACAATAAAAAGCTGCTATCAATGTATCAGAATCCTAAGAAGGCATATGTATAGTACTCAACTCTTCTGAACTGAAAGTTGTGTGCATCCACTATTGTTGTTTCTGTGCTTAATTTATTTTAAAAGTTGGTAGAAAATTACAGCAAGGTTCTATTTCCAGGGCAAAGCACAAGTTAAAGACCAAAGAACACTGCAACACAGGAACGGATCCTTTGGCTCACCTAGATTGCGCCAGCACATGATGCCTTTCTACACAAATAAACTTTTGCCTCTACGTGGTCTGTAAACCTCTATTCCCTGCCTATTCGTATATCTGTCAAGATGACTCTTAAACTTTGCTGCTGTATCTGAATTTCTGCCTCCTCTTGCAGTGCATTCCAGTTACTTACTACCCTCTGTGTGACAAAACTTGCCTCTCACATCTCCTTTAAACTTATTCCTTTTCACTGTAAACCTAGTAATTGACATTTCTAATCTGTGTAAAAAGACTCCGACTATCCATTCTATCAATGACTCTCAGAAGTCTGTAGACTTTTATCAGGTCATCCGTTAAGCTTCAACATTCAAGTGACAACACACCAAGTTTGTCCAATCTCTCCCCATAGCTAATACCCTTAAAACCAGGCAACATCCTGGTAAAACGTTTCTTTATGCTCTCCAAGGCCTCCAAATTGTCTCCACATCTTTATTGTAGGATTTAACTGGAATTTAACTGCACCCATACATTAAAATTCTGTACAGGATTTGCTTTTCCTGTAGTCGAAACATATTATTGTCAAAATTCCTGGTGCAGCTTTGTGGCAATATTTCAATTCAACCTTTCCATTTTTCAATGTGAACTGTCACTTCAGTGGTTCAAATTTTGCTAACGTCACTTACCTTTTTTAACAACAAAATTGGACCGTAATCTCTGGTGTTCATATTTTAATATAAACCAGGAAGTTCCTATCTGTATTGTCCTTCTCGTCCAGAAACATCTCTATACTACTACCATGGTGAGAAACTCGGCCATTACAAAAGTCTTTGAAAGATTATGAAATTTATATGTAAGAAGCAGCAGCAATATAATTAGTAAATTGAAAAGAAAAATGGAAAATAATTGCAGAAAGTCAGTTTGATTTAAACAATGATCTTAGATATCTGCTTCTACCCCATTTGAGGAACTGCCTCTCTCTTACATCCTCTTCTATTTGGAGTTTGGGTCAGTTTGTTTCCTGCTTCCTGAACTATGTCATCTACAGCATGGTATGAATTGCTTATAGTCATTGCCGCCATGTTCTAGAACACATTTGCAAAGATACTTTGCCTTCTGATTTTACCCTTAAGTCCCTTAAAATATATGTTTTCCATCTTGTCTTTAATCTCCCCTTTCACAAAATTCTCCTACGTCTACTTGATAAGTACCTTTCCGCCTTGTAAAGATCTCAAAGATCTTAGATAAAAGGAGCGGTTACATTTTCATTAATTACTGTGGTGTTCTGCAATCAAAAAAGTGCAAGTTATATGAAGTCAAATAGTCTAATAGAAACGAAAGGCTGAAAGTATTTAATTTGCTCAGTTTCATAAATCGTCCCATTTTCTTTCAGTATATCACTGAATGGAAAGATACCTCTAATCAATGTGAAATTTGAATACATTGTTGATCAAAAAAGTTAAACCACATAGAATGAACATGAAGACACCCAAAAATAACCGAGCAGATCTCTGTAGGAAGGGTTTCTTTCTTAGGTGCTTTGGGAACATGGTTCAAATCTCACTACAGCAGCTAGTGAAATTTAAGTTCAGTTAATAAAGTCTGAAAATCAAAGCTTGCCACGAAACTGTTACTGATTCTCATGAATAACAATCTGGTTCACTAATGTGCTTGAGGGAAGGAAATCCCTACCTCACCTGACCAGGCTCCAGACCCAGATTTCAGCCCCTTGGCTGTTAACTTTCCTCTGAAATGGCCTAGCAAATCCATCAGCTCAAGGACAATAAGGATGGGCAATAAATGCTGACTTACCAGTTGTCAGATCACAATAAAGAATAGAAATACAGCAAACTTTGTTTTAACCGACACCTTAAGAAACAGCACTCTTGATAAACTGACAAAAATTATATACCTGAAATACCAGAAGTTAATTGTATTATCGCGATCTCCGCGATGTCCGAGTAGTCAGTTGAGGGTGCGAGTGAGAAGGTTCTCTGCTGGTAAGTTTTCTTTAAGGCAAAGTTGTATTATTATTTAAGTGATTTATGCTGTAAACAAAGCATAACAGCGATGTGTATACCCCCACATTATGTCTCTATTACTTAATGTGTATGTTTTTACATCAGTTATGTGGACCTCTTGATCTCGAATATTTGGTCAACCGGTACACTCCTGGTCCCATAGGTGCCGGTCAATAAAAAGTTTGCTGTAAATAATTTTTTCCAGTATCTTCAAGCAATCAACCAGGTTTAATGGTTCAATAGGCACTACAATTGTGCTAATTCACTAATTAGCATGGATATGCTTTTAACCACTGCTTTCCAAGAAACAGGCACAGTACTTAAAAGTACAAAAGTTTTCAACATACTGCTTTATCATATATGGCGCTGCATGCCAAGTGTCTTGTGTTTTAAAGTGGAGTTAGAGGATAGGGGAGCAATCAGATTTGGGAGTAATGATAGGATCCATTCTGAAGTACAATACATTAATTCATATTACTTATAATTATTCTTTCACGAGATGGCATTACTGGCAAAGCCAACATTTGTTGAATTGCTCTTGAACTGAGTCGTTTGCTGGGCTATTTCAAAGGGCAGGTAAGAGTCAAACACATTGTTCTGTTTCAGTAGTCACATAAAGGAAAGACCAGGTAAGGATAGCAGTTTTCCTTCACAGTTGGAAAGCGGAAAGTAGAGTTGCTTGGAAGATATAGGTTGCTTTGAAGAACAGGTGAAGAAACAGGAAAATGGACTGTGGGAGGCAAGAAAGTTCGGTTAGAATATGACAAGCTAAGGTGGTTTCCATCATAAGTAAAACACAAGAAGTTCTATTTAAAAAAAAAAGTTGATACAAAAGTAAGGTCTGGCAGACTCAAGTGTATTTGAAATGGTACCTTGGAATAGTAGAATGCCAGAATCGGTCTGTTGAGGGGAAAACATACAGAACCTGTTGACAACACTGCAATGGCTGGCTTCATTACACTCAGTGTGGCACCAAATGGATAAACAAACGTTAGGGCTCTGTAGCATACAAGAACAACAAGATTACTGAAAGTACAAGAAGGAAGTCTACTTGTCAATAAACCACATAAACAAATACGTTAGATGTCAGCATATAAGTCAATCTTTGAAGTCTTAAAAAATCCTTGCAAATACAGGGGTCAACATATATGCCTTATATAAAAGTGAACCATGGTTATGGGTGGTTCCTATCTTTGTTATAGATCCATGTGGGCTCTGATCTGTTTGGGCATATCCTAAACTACTATGAAATACAGCAAATGATGGCACTTGGGGACTGTAATAAGGGTCATCTTATATGCTATGATCTGCAGCAATGAAGATGCTTTCCAAAAATCCATTTAGTCCTACGTTTTCAAACAATAGCTAATGCATTTCTCATTGTTGAGAAACAAAAAGCAACAATTTTGATTTAAATTTTTATAATGCACCATTCATACTTGCACATAGCAATTGCCAGAATTTTTCCTGAAATATGTTTTTAATCCTATCTCGGTTTCTTTCATTGCATGGCAACTAATATGGAGTTGGCAATCACCACTTAGATCTTACCACTAGTTAACTATTTTGCCACTAGAAGTAAATAATTGTAATAGTAAACAAAGTGGCTATGCAAGCATAAAATGAATGAAATATCAATTCTGGAAACCGGTAAATTATTGCATTGATGCCTTATTATTTAACGAGTTATCCTTAATTATGTGTTTTGATTTGTATCATTGCTTGATTAACAAAGAAAATAGCAGTAATCATGGCAAGTTAGCTTTTGAAATTCAGTAAACTGCCAGCAAATTTCTTTGCTACTCCATGCATTATTTTGCTTACATAACAAGAATGACTGCCCTTTAGAAATATTCACCAATTATCAAGTTCTTCAGAACAGATTTAGGACATCAAGGTTAATGTATTAAAGCAATTTATTTTGTCTTTATTCTCAATTAAGCTACGACTATGCATTCTGTTGTACGACAATTTTGCCGATTAAAAGTCTTTGCAAAACTATATTTTTTAAGCAGTCAATTTATGCATAACAGGGTAGATGACAGTTCTGTGGGACTGAAGTCATAATTCTGTTTGATGACTTTTGAAAAACCTACTGCAAGTTGTTGCCATTGCTGTCTTCATCCATTACGCCTGGCACAGATTTTCCAGCAGCTCGACTAATTTCTCTGTGAATGACAATTAATTTTCCATATGTTCATTTGAAGGAGAAACAACTTTACCAAATTAAACTCTAAAACAATCCATTTAATTTACAATGGACATACACAAGCCCAAATTTTACTTAATTTAGATTTTAGAAAATAACACCTGCAATCCATAGCTAATCATATCCTCCATCACCTCCTCCTGACTATCCCACACAATTGTAACCTTAAAGGTTACAATTGTAGGATTAGATGAAATTCTGCATCTATTGATAAACATGTGTGGCAATAAATGTCTTTAAAACTTCGCAACAACATTGTAATAATTTGCCCTTTCAAATAACTAAAGTTAACCAAAGTGAAACGCTTCTCAATGTTTAGTAATTTGGCTGAACCAACTTTTTCATTTGGCAGTAGAACTATTCATCAATCTGTGGTTCATTTTCAGGCTAGAGTAATTTCAATGTTGGAAAATCACTGATAAAAAAGTACAGGCAAGATGCGTGTCTTGCCAATGAAGAATCAAGCCATTTTCAAATGAATTGCAGAGCACACTTGATAGGCTGCATGGCCTACTTCTACTGCAATATCTTATGGCATAAGACCCAGCAGAGGAATTCTAACCTAGTTTCAATAATAACTACTGCACGCACACTTCTACGTTATTACTTTGTGTCAGAAAGTAAGCCGACAAGCAAGTCCGACATGATTTGGGAGCACTTGCGCTTGGTAAACACGGCTTGGCTAATAACATATACTCTCAACACAAGCTCAGTATCAACAGGGAGATGAGGAAAATTAATATAACTGAAAGGATATCCTTACCCCTCAAAATTTAGTCATGCAAATAGTAAGAACCTGAGCTAGAAAATATCTCTGTTCTCAAAAATTTATCAATATGATAAAGTCAAAAAGCAATTTCTGTAATAACCAATTGAATCGTTGGTGTATTATTTTATCCTCTTTCCCCAAAAGTAATTTGTCAACAAATGATGTAAACTACTATATGAATAACATCACATAGGTGGAATGAAAATGATTAAGCCATAGGTGAAACGTAAGGTTACCTGTTCAAAACTCCATTTGATATTAATGCTTCTTTAGGGTGGAAATATTTGTAGTACATATTTCTCACAACAGCATCTTGAGGACAAAGATATTTAAAATTACAATTTAAATCCTTATACATTAAGATACAAATGGAAAAAATAAAATTTAAAGAAAATTTACAATGCTCACCATTATTTACCATAATTCCATATTCCTCTAACAAAAAGTTTATGTTCGTGTCATATTTAGATTCTCCACCTTCCCCCAGCATCACAAGAATACGCCCTCCATTTTCTAGGTATCTTTTCAATATTTCAAGCTTAAAAAAAATTATAACAATTAATCAAAAATGTGCAATGTTTCTTCAAAATAAAATCTGGCCCAATCATAGCCTGAAAATAACACTCAATAGAATACAAGTACAGCAGCATACAAATATAATACACAAAATAAATGGGCCAATAACTAATTTTTATGATAAATACTGGAAAGGCTGTTTTGTCAATAAGTAATCACTAACTTTTAAACAATTAAACAATTTGCTACATCACACCAGAGTTCTTGTGGCGCAGTGGGTAACATCACTGCCTTTGAACCAGATGCTCAGGGTTCAAGACCTTTCTGTGCATTCACAACAGGCCAAAAAGGTTGACTATCAACCTGCAAATCCTTTCAGAACAGTCCACTGGCAGCCAGCAAGAGCAAGTGAATGTCTTGGTCAGCATGTGATGGAAAGATTGTTGGAGCCTCGAACATCATTATCCATAACTGCAGATAACACTATATGTTACCACGGGAGCACAGATTCGCTGAGTGCATTTTAACAGACCACCACCATAAAACATTGTGAACCTGCAACAGCCAATCTTTTATTGACTTTGAAGTGGTTTGAGATGTGAAACAGGCTATATTAACACAAGTTATTTCTTTACTAAGAACTTTCTCTAAACGTGCAGATCTGAAACATACAATTTCATAAATGGGACATTAGTAACACAGACAAAGATCATTTGCGAGCCTTTAACTGGAGGAATTTCACTTCAGTGCTTACTAGGATGTGAGTTATAGAAGGTAGCATATGTGTGCACTGGAAAGTCTTTTCTGGCCTATTAGGCTATTCACATTCACAGCCACTGCTATTAAATGTACTGCATCATAGAACATTGAACAGTACAGCACAGGAATAGGCCCTTTGGCCCACCATGTCTGTGCCAACCATGATTTCCTTCTCACTCATCCCATCTGCCTGCACACGGTCCATATCCCTCTATTC